TTTAGTTTTTATCCAGTTTGGGTCCCCAGAAGTTATTGAACAACAACTCCCATCACTTCTGCCATGCAGAGTCGGGATAATTGCAACCCAACAGCACTTGTGGTACTGAGATTGGGGAAAGATTAAAGAGCTGAGCATGGATGAAGATGGGGTCTTATAAAAACTCACACCCCTTCCACACTGCTTCTATATACCAGGACCTGATCCCAGATTATATTCACGATGCACACTCACTTCTGGCAAGACTCCATAGATGAACGGTGCCACATGCATCTTAGGACGCTCCACCCAAAACATTATATAGGCAACAACCGGGCCAGCACAGTGGGAAGCCGTGCAGCAACACTTCCCCATGTGTGATGAAGAAGTGTCAACGTGGGGCAACAGAATTGCCCCACTGCCCTGCATATTAACCACAGAGGCTGGCAAATCCCTACAGATCCAACAGTTAGTGTGATGAAGACATTGAGGGTGTGAAGGGGCTGTGTATGTTGGAAAGTGGAGCCTTCTCAGTTTTTTGTTAGCTGTAGAGTCCAAATTGAACAGAAGCAAGATTTTCTCAAGTTCCAGTTGCCCTTCTCTACCACCTTGCTTGTCATACTTTATACTGAGCCATGGCAATTTAATGGAGATCAACCACTGTGTATAATAATATGTGTGTTGGCGGGCAAGAGTCAATTGGTTAATAATCATCTAGTCATAACCTGAAGGGCAAACAAACTTGGGAACTTAAGAATATGTAAACTACACTCAGAATATGTTCATCAGTGGCTCGGAGGAAATTACTGTAGGAATACAATAGACACAGAAAACTTGTTTACAGTATTTTTTTTATAAGTGGACTTCAATCTTTTTAGAAAAAGTCATATAAGAACTTTTAATTGTCATTTTTGTAATAATAGATTGGAGTAGATAGGCTTCTCTTTTTTGCTTTTTAACTGGATGGCTAACACAGTGTATCGGTTTGAGTGCTGGAAGTGTGCACTGGGACACCTGGGTTTGAATCCCCACTTATCCATGGAAATCCCATTGGGTGACCTCCTCTGAACGAATCCTGCTGCATAAACCTTATGATAGGATCACTATAAATCAGAGGATGACTCTGCAACATACAAATTAGCCTACATATTGCATGTAAATCTGTACTCGGAGTAGTATAGTGTATTAATAACTTGGGGCTACATCTGCCCTTCTGGAGTGTCACCTAATCAGTGTCACCACCATTATAATTCCTAGCCAGCCAGATACCATCTGAGCTCCTGGCTGTCTCAGACACTTTTGCTGATGTCAGAATGGCAAACTCTGAAGTATACACAAGAAGACAATGGATTCCCACCAATACAAAAAACACAAATCCACTAAAAGTTGTGGTACATAAATCACAATGGTCGATATTGCCTAACAGTTTGTATATTACAATATTCAACAAATGGCAAAATTACATGGTATAGGCAAAACCCAGTATATAATGAACAACAACCAGTTGTTTACAAAGATTACACATACATAACATAAAGAGTCTTTTGGTGTAAAGACAACTTGTCTTCAGGGCATAAGATCCCTTGCTTTAGAAAATTTTTGGATATCCACATCCACGACCGGTTTCGACAGGAGTCTTCCTCAGGTGGATATATGAGACATCAAGTTCTTCACAATAGTAATCCCTCCTCGGGTGTTTTAAACTCTGAAGTATGCCTCAACTTTATTTGAAGTTGAGCAAAGTCAAAGTATAGCCGCCCACCCCCCACCCCCCAAAAAACATGTGATACTCATCTGGAGCCTCTCTGCATCATGAAAATAGCCAGTGATCCATTTGTGCTGTGGCTGGGTTTTTGGACCACTGTAAACAAGCCAAGAGTCAATTCAAAGGCACATGACACCAACAATACAGGCTGGATCTACATTGTCGTATAATCCAGTTTCAGAATGCAGATTAACTGCTTTGTATTGGATTATATGAGTGTATACTGCCATATAATCCAGTTCAATGCAGTTAATCTGCATTCTGAAACTGGATTATATGGAAGTGCAGATGGGGCCACCGAGCTATTCTTAGATATATATTGAAAACTGCAGCTCAAGTAATTAAAAATTAAGGAACAGTGTTCTTCTGAGCACATCTTCATTCCAGAAAATTATAATCAGTATCAAACCAATCTCTATACCACAATGCATTCCTGTTTTCCACTCAAACATTTTTAGCAACTCCCTCCCTCCTTCTGTACATACCATTCCTGCATAAGTGGGAGTTAAATACTCTTGCAAATTTAATTGCTCAGGTCTTCAGTAAATATAATTGGCCTTCTGAAACCCACTGCTTCTACAGAGGTGCCTCCTCACAAAATCAGGATCTTCACTTGTTCTCCTCTGGTGCAGGAGGCATCTCAAAGGAGGCTCATAGTTTGAAAACAATAACATTACATATCCTGGGTCTTGCTGCTGACTGCTAATGATGAGGCATAAAATAATAATGGATAGCCATTGCTGGAAGAAAATTCAGAGAGTGCCTTGGATTGCAAGAAGATCCAACCAGTCCATAGTTCAAGACAAAACGCCCGACTGCTTACTAAAGGAAGGATATTAGAGACAAAGATGAAGAACTTCGGCCACATCATGAGAAGAAAGGAAAGCTTGGAGAAGATGCTGGGGAAGATGGAAGGAAAAAGGAAGAGGGGCTGATCAAAAACAAGATGGATGGATGGTATTCTTGAAGGATAGGCTTGACCTTGATGGAGCTGGGGGTGGCAATGGCCAAAAGGGAGCTCTGGCGTGGACTGGTCCATGAGGTCACAAAGAATCAGAAATGACTGAACGAATAAACAAGCCATTGATTTTGCTGAAAGGAAAGAGGAGTTTGAAACACAACATTACCAGATCAGAAAAGAACTTTATCTCATCAATTCCAAATCAGTCAATCAATTATAATTTCTACTGCCAAAAGACAAATACAAGTTTCCCTGGCTTTTTCAAACTTCAGTTGAACAATTAGCAGACAAAAATAAAACCAGGTCTTTGACAAAAAGCTATTCATACCTGTTCAGACCACAATTTGAAATATGTCAGGTAATGTAAATGGGAAATGTTTTCAATGTATAGAACCACCTGTTATATCAGAATATAATACACAATTCATGAAGTGTACCAGAAAATATACTATGTCATGTTCTTTCTGCAGTCATATGGAACATATATTATAAATCTTATTCCAAAATGCCTCTGTAATCTGTTTCCACCTTGAAAAGTCCCTCTTTGAAATGTTTCTTTGTAAAAAGCTTTCTTGAGCCAGTCAGCTTTCCTACCATACTCTGGATTTGGATCTCTGCTCTCTTTTGTTTCTTGTACTCTTTGTAAATCCCCCTTTCCTGAGCCCCATATTCTCAAAATCAGATTATAAACATTCCTGACAAGGACTTAATCATTTCCTACCCCTTCATTCTGTACAGCCTCTAATTTTCTGTGAGCACCAATGTCAATAGATTTAATTATGATTTTCATGTGAACTCCAATAAAGAGGTATCTGAGGGAGGAAGGAAGAACATAACATTTAAGAGTAAATTATATAGCATTTGTTGGCTTTGTCATAACGGGCTAATGTGGCTATCTTTCAGAAATGGTTAAAATGGAAGGCATCACTTGTAATGAGAGAATAGAAATCCAGAAAAAAATGGTAGTCTTTAAGGTTCCCCAGTTCTCTTTGCTTTTGTTGCCAGAGACTAACACGGCCATCTCTATGATAATCATGGGTTCTGCCAACAATGTAATCATTTCATATTTAGTTAAATGTACTTGTAATCATGAGGAGACAGGAAAGCCTAGAAAAGACAATTATGCTGGGGAAAGTGGAAGGCAAAAGGAAGAGGGGCCGACCAAGGGCAAGATGGATGGATGGCATCCTTGAAGTGACTGGACTGACCTTGAAGGAGCTGGGGGTGGTGACGGCCGACAGGGAGCTCTGGCGTGGGCTGGTCCATGAGGTCACGAAGAGTCGGAGACGACTGAACGAATGAACAACAACAAAGAATTATAGAAATGAAGATCTGTGATAACTGTGTGCAGCTTTTCAAATTCTTACAGTATTCTGATTTATTTCTCTCTCTCTCTCTCTCTCTTTTTTTTTTTTTACAAATGATTAAAGACACAGATTGCTTTAGGTAGAAAACCTGGGTCATCTCAGTTCATCTTATCTCTTCTTTTCCATCTCTTTCTTTTTTGTTCTGCTTTGTCTTTGTCATCCCACCACATGTGCTGATATTATTTTAAGTATTTTTAATGCTGGAAAGGGATCATGACTGGTGCACTTAGCCTAAAATGTTTGTGGACATAGATGCAAATAATGTATCCTATGTATCCTATTGAGACATGTTGATCTCATGGCTGGAGATCCTCCATAGCAGTCATGCCATCAGGTACATTTATAACTTTTGACCATAGAGATTAAGAACATAGAAAAAGTACATAATTATCACAATACCCTTCCACGTGCATATAAAAATAATGCCCAAAATTCATTTGGTCAGTTACGAATGTGTAACCATTTTTGTTCAATAGCTAGTCCTAGCCTGACACTACCATCCCCACCATCCCTACCTACCAAGCAGCAGCCACTGCAAGCAACAGAGGCTGGTTCTCCTTTAAATTGGGAAGCAGATGACCGATATCTCCATTTTACCCCACAAGTAATCTGTGTTACTACCAGTAGAAATGTGAATGTCTAATTTATTGAATTCTGGCCACAATCCCCCCCCACTCTATCACATACGCAAGATTATTCTTTTCCTTCATGGTTATCCAAACTGTAGGTAAATGCATCCTGTTACTCCTAGAAAAAGAGAGACAGAGATGATCTGCCCTCTGGTGTTTATCGTCTGAGATGTAATACATCAAAGGAATGCAACAGCAGGCTAGGAGAAGCTCAAGGAGGCATCCCTGTCTTAAAAACAACCATTTCTGTAAGAAGAGGATTGTATTGATGAGTTTCTCTCTTTCTCTTTGCTTTGCAGAATCGCAGTGTACACTCTGTGGTGAGCCTGAAGGTGAGTTGTATATCTATATTGTTAATAATTTTCAAAGCCAACAATGATGATGTTTGAGTTGCTTGATCTGTTTAATCTGTTAGCAATCGTTCTAGTGTGACATCAGACTGAATACGGAATATTAGAAGCAATGGTAAAAAAAAAAAGTCAAGGGAGGTGGGTGAGACACACTGCTGTGTTGTAGATGCCAAAACCTGAATTGAATTAAGTGCTGAGTAAAGCACAGTACATGCTTCGGGCAGACAATGACCAATATTCTTTTGCAATAGAAATGAAAATGTTTGCTCCTTTACAGTAGTTTTGTGCATCAGTAAAAATAGGAATAAGCATGAGCACAAGCATTCAAGCATGACTATGCTTTAATGCAGGTGTTTCATGTTCATCTGTTGAATTCCTTCATCATCAAACCGATTCTTTGGCCAAGACAGAGGTGCTTGTTTCTTTTCTTGACATTATTATTTTATCCTATGAAAACTCTAATAATGTAGTTTAGGGTGAAAGATAGTGACTAACCCAGAATAATTCACCATAGCTCATGGATCACTGAAAAATTGAACGTAGGGTTCTCTTGGTATACTTTAACTGAGAGGTGTAGAGTTTGTGGCTAGAAAGTCACTCCACCATTTTATATAGCCCCAATCACTTGTGTGAAGACTGGCATGTTTAAAAGTAAGAGGGATACACACCAACTAAACTGGGAAAATCAGTTAAGTATTATTATTATTATTATTATTATTATTATTATGTTTATTATTATGTTTATTATTATGTTTATTATGTTTATTATGTTTACTTATACACCGCTTTTTCTCTCCACAACAAAACTCAAAGTTGCCTGATCCCAACCTCCAGTGACTCTCAAATGCTGTCACTAATGTGAGTGGGGAAACATCAACCTCATTGGAGATTAGAAGTACTTCATCACACAAGAAGAATGGTTCTCAACCTGTGGGTCCCCAGGTGTTTTGGCCTACAACTTCCATAAATCTCAGCCAGTTTACCAGCTGTTAGGATTTCTAGGAGTTGAAGGCCAAAACATCTGATTACCCACAGGTTGAGAACCACTACACTAGGGCTATTACCCAAATTGCCACCTACTTTTTTAACCCAATTGCCACCTCCTACAGAATTCTGGGATTTGTAGTTCAGGGAGGGGGCATATGACAGACTCAGGTTTGAAAATTTTGCATTCCCTTGTTTGTGGACTGGTTTCCCACATGCTGGTTCTGTCACTGTTTGGAAATCAAAACTGTTAAACATGACAATGATATAATCACAAAGATTGCAAAAAAAAAAGCATATGTCACTGAATATTAAAGGCCTAAATTAGAGGTCCCCAAACTAAGGCTCGGGGGCCGGATACAGCCCTCCAAAGCCATTTACCTGGCCCTCGCTAAGGGTCAACCGAAGTCTGAAATGACTTGAAAGCACACAACAACAACAACAATCTTATCTCATCAGCCAAAAGCAGGCCCACACTTCCCATAAAAATACTTATAAGTTTATATTTGTTAAAATTGTTCTTCATTTTAATTATGGTATTGTTTTGTTTTCTTTGCACTGCAAAATAAGATATGTGCAGTGTGCATAGGAATACATTCATGTTTTTTTCAAATTATAATCTGGCCCTCCAACAGTTTGAGGGACTGTGACCTGGCCTTCTGTTTAAAACGTTTGAGGACCCCTGACCTAAATTTAAAAAGTTGTCCAACTTCCCACAGGATCACATTGGCACAAGACAGAACAAGAACAGCCTCCTTGCTTTCAGAGGAAGAGTATATAGCATGTGACTTACTTGCCCTTTAAAACAGTTTTGAACAAAAGGTGCATAGTGTTGTATGCAAGGTAGCTCTAGATTTGGTTAAGCTCTTGGCATGTTAGCCCTTAGTCTGTGCCTCCTACAGGTCCCTTACTCCAACATCCTGAACTGAAGGGGTGAGGAAAGTATGGCTTGCAGGATATGAACTCCCTTTATCACCTTGTTGGTGGCTTCTGAACTCCCCAAGAGACCTTCAAATCACCAGATCTCCCATTTAAGAAAAACAAAACTTTGACTATGAGTTGCTTTTGAATTTATTGAACAGAAAGAGAATCCTAGCAATAGGTGGCATCATCTGGATATAATGGAATGAATCCAGTGATTAATCCCACTTGTAGAAAGCCTCTTATACTCAGGGAAGAGCTTTGTGCAAATTAACTAGAAAGAGGTATGTTCAGAAAATGACCCCAAGTCCAGCAGAACTTCTGCTCACTCTTGTGTAAGTCTTTACATGATTTCAATTTCACCATGTATTTATGCGCGTCAAGAGTTCATGCTCATGGCTTCTAGCCTGATCATTTGTATAAGCATTGAGAGTTTATATTGTCTGTGTTTTTCTTATTTGTTTCCCAAACTCTCTTACGTGCAATTGTTTGATGTTTTCTGCTAGCTTTTTCACAAGAGGTCACCCTACAATGCTCATATATTTTCTGGTTTTGCTCATGGTTCTTTGAATCCAAGCCAATATATTCCATAGATGTTGAAAACTATTTCTCTGTCTGCCATTCATAATGCAACCCTTTGGAAATCATTACCCAGGGAAGCCTGACTGCTGCCACTTTTGTTTTCATATCAGTACCAAGGAGGGGCTCTTGTTCTGTATCGTTTTAGAAAGTAGAGTATGACTGATGGATTGTACTGGCTTTTGAAATGCTCACCCATTCTGATCTTCTGCCTTTATGTTCATCTGTACTTTAAAGATTTTTGAACTTCAATTTGGAAGCTATCCACATGTATGACACTGGGGGACAAAATTTTGTCCTACACGTTGTGCTCCTCTGTTCTTTGTATTTTCCACTGCAGCCCATAATCTTAATTTTTCTAAAAAATTGTAGTTATCTATGAAATCTATCAGTAAACCACTACATTCATTATAGTAAAGAAGAAAAAGAACAAAAATGTAATATTGTGGTTATCATTTAATTGTCAACTGTACACTTTATCATTGTCAATGGTTACTGACTTCACTCAATGAAATTACCTGATCTATTGTTAAAATAATGGTATTAACTAAACTATACTTAAAGTTCATTCATATTTATTTGTTAATATTGTAAGTCTTTTTTCTAAATATGAATTAATTCAGCATGTGAGATGGACTGTTTTATTAATAATTATAGAGACTAGTCTGTATTGTGTATTTTTTCTCATTAAAATGTGAGCCCCAGTCCTTCCCTTTAGACCAGTGGTTCTCAACCTGTTGGGCCCCAAGTGTTTTGGCCTACAACTCCCAGAAATCCCAGCCAGTTTACCAGCTGTTAGGATTTCTGGGAGTTGAAGACCCAGACATCTGGGGACCCACAGGTTGAGAACCACTGATTTAGACCATGCCATTTGGTCTAAAGGTTCTCGGCCACTTGTCTACACTGAAAAGTACTCTTAGTCTCATGGAGGTTGACCATCTGTGCATTTGCTCCTAGGTGGAAACTTTTTTATGGAAACAGGCATTCTCTGACAACACACAGTAACAGCTTATCTCGGTCAGACAAAGCTCGCATGGCCAAAAAGTTGGAGCTCTGAGAAGCTCCATTTAATATTTTAACGTTTTAGGACAATCTCAATGGCCTGAGGCATAGGGATTTTAAATTATAATGATATATGTGATTGTTTTTATGCTTATATTTATGTAGTTTGGGTTTTATGCAATCTGTTAATTTAGTGTTTGTCAGGCTGGTGGGATGATAAATTTTTGGATTATGTAGTTTGTGTTTTCTAATTTATTCATTGCTTTGAGTCCCATCTGTGGGAGAAAAGTAAATAAATAAATAAATAAATAAATAAATAAATATTATTCTATATAAACAGCCCAGCCAACTCATAAAAAGTATGAATACTTAGTTCAGTGGGAGAACAATGTAGGAATTGTCTCTTATTTTAAATGAAAATTATTTTATTATTGGACAGAAAACAAATTACAAATTTGATGTTTTATTTGGAAATGTCAGTAGAGTACTCTATGAAGAGAAGACTGCCATGTCTGAAGTGTATTGAATAGGGATTCCTTCATGAAACAATACTTCTCAGGTGAAAGTTACTATAATTCTTCTAGCTTTTTATTTTCCTTCCTTCCTTCCTTCCTTCCTTCCTTCCTTCCTTCCTTCCTTCCTTCCTTCCTTCCTTCCTTCCTTCCTTCCTTTCTTTTTGGAAGAAGTCTGCTCACACAGCTGATGCCAAAGCTGAAATTTCAAATGCAACCATGTGGCTAAAAGCGAGTGACACAAAATGTTGTGCTATTACATGATAAATTACTTTATTTTGTTGACACGGAGCATGGGCAATACTGCTAATCTGAAAGCTATTATAATTTATAACTAAAGTTTGTATAATTTATGTCAAATGAGTTTGCAAAACCTAGAGAGTACAAATATGATACAATGTGCCATTAAGAAAGAGGAAAATGCAAAGCACAGTGAGTAAAAATATTTGGCCAGTATTTATGATGGAAAATTCTCCAGTATTTATAGAAAAAGATGTCCTCCCCTAGCATCTATCCATATTTTGTCATTTTTAAAGCATAAATATTAGATAGAATATTTGTGCAATATTAATGCTTAAATGAAGTGACTGAAAATATGAATAGATGCAGGAAAACATTTCCATGAAAAAAAGTATGTTGTTTGTGTTTAAAGGGCCACTTCAATATTAGTACACACAAATGATAAATAAAATTATTATGGCCTTCAATGTTATTATTCAGTTGTAATAGATGGCTTTTATTTTCAAGACGATTTTCTCATTCCCTTGGCTGAGATTGGAGAGGATGTGGAATCAGATTTTACCAGGCATGGCCATAAAAATACAATATGAGATTTAGAAGAAATCCCTCTTGGGCCCTTAAGTTGTAAATCTCAAATATCATTTTCATGCTATCACTATTAAGCTGGGCTTGGTTTTAAGATACTGACAGCCTTACTTTCAGAGCTGATAAAAGAAGCTAGTAGAAATATTTAGTGAGAAAGAT